CCTAAAACGGCTCGTTCGAACACGCCCCCACATATCTACCTCACCATGTGGGAAGATTTGCATAACGCCGCCCAAATGTTCACGCAAAGAAAGAAGGCGTAACTTTTATTCTCACTGTAGTATTGTTGTTGCCGCTGCCGCCATGTCCTGAAGACGCTGCGTGCTTCGTTGTGAAAGTGAAACTACTTTTAATAATGTGTTTTTTTTACTTTAAACCGCATAAACACATTTCATTACACCAAATACACAAAATAATGTTATTTTTAGCAGCATCATATGACCCCTTTAATATTAAGTGACATAAATTTAGGAACACTGTTGTCTAATTTGCTCTGTCAATGAAAATAATTATGCCTGCACTATGTCTGTACTTTCTTCTGCACTGGAAGCTCCTGTAGTCAAGTCAAATTCTTTGTGTGTGTAAACATACTTGGTAATAAAGCTCTTCTGATTCTGATTCTGAAAATAATTCCAAACAAATCACAGCTGAGCCGCTGCGCATCTCCAGGCAAACACAGTTGTTTCGTTTATGAATGAATCTGCGTTTTTGAACAAATCTAGTGAGTCATAAAGTGAGACACTTGCTTCATTCCTAAATTAATCAGCCATTTGAACGAATCGATTGAATGAAAGATACAGTGACTTGCTGCCACCTACTGGTGGTTTCAGTTTCATTTTTAAAGTATAAACTGAGTCATTTAATTTGTTTAATATTTCTATATTCAAAACTTTATATTTAAAACATTAATTTTATAACATTGTTATTATGAAATGCTCACAGAAGAGCAGAAATGTGACATTACAGAATTTTTGACAAGACTCAGAGGTGCCACCTCTGAGTCTTGTCAAAAATTCTGTAATGTCACATTTGTGCTCTTCTGTGCCGTGCAAAGATGAATTGTTGATGCTGATTTCATTTGATTAGTAACTTATGCTTCCTGATTGTATCTTATTATTTTAATTGAATTTATTGTTTGATTAAAATTTTTGATAAGAGTTTATAAATCTACATTTTTTTGGCACAAAAGATGGCATACATTTAATCAAGTTGGAGGCATTACAACGGTTTAAAAAAAAGGATTCAAATATCACCTTATAATAGGAAGGTTAATTTCTGTCATTGATTAGAAGGTGTACCTAATTTTTTTTTTTTTTTTTTTTTA